AATAAATACTGTATTATCGGCATACCTGATATTGTTCACAATTTTTCCATTGACTTTTAGTCTTTCTTGAATAATAATGGTGCTAGTATACAGCCTTGTCTAACTCCTCTTTGGATGTTTATGGTTTTAGTATCACCCATTTCAGTTCTGACAGAGGCGTTTTGGTTCCAGTAGAGTTCACGTATTGTATTAGGTAATATCGTTTCGATCCAGGTTCTTGTTTTACAAGCATTCTATTAGCTGATCGTGTTTGACTTTGTCAAAAGCCTTTTCATAATCAATAAAGCACAAGTAGACATCTTTTTGTTGATCCCGGCACTTTTGCATGAAAACAATGAAACTGAACAAAGCTTCTCGAATTCCCATACCGTTTCGGAAGCCAAATTGTTCCGGACCCATATCTTCTTCGCATTTTTGTAAATTCTGTTATAGATAATTTTTAGAAATTGCTTCAGAATATGGGGCATGAAACTTATTAATCGAAAGTCGTTACTTTTTTTGCGTAGTTTGATTTAGGTATAGGCACAAACGTAGACGTTCACCAATCTTGTGGAATTGTACCAGTCTTGTATATACTGTTGAAGAGTCTTGATAATAGTTCTAAATTGTCTTCTTCCAAAAGTTGTAATTTCACTATGAACGTAGTCAGGTCCATTTCTGTAAGTTAATATTAATAGAAATATTTAAATATTGTTTCTATGCGTATATAATAAAATATGTCTAGTTGCTGTAATGCCAGTGTACTCTGCAAAGTGAGATTTTAATATCTCTTAATTTAGTCATTATATTATATTTATGGGTACCTACTCATTGGTAGAATTTTGTACGTTCACAGTAAAATACGTAAACGTATCGTTTTTATACTAGATTCCGTTACTTAAGTCACCGATAAGTTTTTATATTTTAAAATATGTAAATATTTCCATTTAAATATCCACTGGTAAAAAAACATTATTTTATTAGACAAAACATTGCGAAGTTGTACATACCTTAGAGTATATACAAATGTCAGCAGTATTCTTATAGTTATTTTTTTGTAAATTACTTTGGTATTTTTAGCAAAAAATGCTTAATAAGTGGACTGCCAACTACAAGATAACTCCCCGATTACTTTCTTTATAGGACGCCAACTACGAGTTATCTCGTACTGTGTTTACTTGCCATTTTGAATAGCCAGAGGCTTTTGCGGTTTTCATATTTTTTAAGGCGTATTTTATTTCTAATGTTAAGATGGGCAAGTCGTTATTTTAGATGTTTGTTTGTCTATCAACATTTATTGGTCTATCGTCTGAGAATAGGTTTTGTATGTATGTTCGCCATTCAACGCTTATTTCTTCTATTGTAGTCAGGACCCTATCATCCGTACTTGTTATTGTGTCACACTGCCTAGCGTTTCTGATCCCACACATTTCTTTAATTTTCTTATGGAGAAGTCTGTCATCATGTTTATTCTATAGGACTTCTATATCTTCGCAAGTTTCTACAAGCCACTGTGTTTTTACTAACACTATCTTTTTGCTTATTAGTTTTTGTATTTCTTTATATTTATTCCAGTCTTTATTTTTGTGTTGTCGTCTCACACGCACAATCTAGAAAACCAAAATAAAATAAACCAATGACAAACCACAGTTTATAAAAAGAGTCCTCGCCTTTTTTTTCGTTGAAAACACTTGTGCTGCTATTTTACACAGTATTCTTTTAAATAAATAAATTACTTCATCGAAAAAATTTCCATTCCATGACGGCATTAAAAAGCAAATTTATAACATGTTAAAATAGATCTTCGGCTATCTGAGCCACTTCCATTGAGTTGTTTGGGATTGGCATTAAAAGGCAATTTATTACATAAATAAATAATATACATATCTATTTTTTTCAGTACCTTTCAGGTACTCAAAGAAAATGTACTTATCTAAACATTTTACAAAAGTATATGCTTTTAATTTTGAAATATAGATAATTTTGTCCTAATAGACCACCATGTGGTCATATCACTTTTTAAAATATATACTTTCATTATTATCAGCTATGTAATGGGCTATGTTTGGGCTAATGTAGCCCAAATAAAAGGCTAATAAATTTGGGAATTGAGTTAATAGAATAAATGGGACTCAGAGCCTCGACCAGAAAGGTTTACACTCATATATTCAGTCTGCAGTTGCCAAATACGGCATATCGAAGGATCTAGTGTACCTTTAAGTAAAGCTGTAGACAAAATGACGTAAAATTCGCCTTTTTATAGCAAAATATAATCAAATGCACTCATTATTACGACAGTCGCAGCCGCTGCAATTTCCATGTCGGACATGTTGACGTTGGCTTTAGAGGGAACCGACTGATATCAGTGATATCGCCCCAATACTAAACCCAATGTGTGGATGCCTCACCAAACGTAAGAACACAGTTGACCCAACGTAGGCTCCACCCATGTCTGGAGCCGGCCTTTACTTAACCAAATTACTTAACATACAATAATATATGCTAAACTGCTTTATAAGTAATACATAATTTTTAAATAGACTAAATACAGACAACATAAATTATCGGCAGACTTGAAACTATGGCGTAATTCGATGAAATATAAACAGTTTACCGTATGACGCAAAAATATGCATCAAATTTTATGACCAGTTATGATTACCCTTGTTATTCTTAAGCTGGAAAAATGTTTTTTTAGTAAAAAAATTAAGGCTGTTTTCGCAGTTATAGCATACTGCGATTTGAAGTGGGCGTATCACTTACTTTTCTACACTGCTATGTCAGACCCTACGTGACTTACTAATAGTTTGGATGTTTATTCAGTGGCGCCGGCCCACGGGTTGTTTAAAATAAATGCATTATTCTCCATTCAAATTAGTTTTGTCGGAATACTTTTTTTTAGATTAATTATCGTAGATAATGTTTTAAAAAGAATAAATCACATTTTTAATTTATATGTCTTAGCTAAACATAGTATTAAATAAAAATTTGTAAAACGTGACTGCAAAAAACACCATGGTGTTTGTTTATAATAAATTTAAATTTTGTTATATTAATATTAATATATAATTATTATTTTGTTAATATTTGTTAGAGAAAACTAATATTAGCGTAGTAAAAATTAAACAAAAAATATTTTTATTTATCTATAAAAAATTGGTACCTGCGAAACCATCATAATAGTAAATGTATTTATCTGGCAAGTATTTCGAGGCGACGCACTGCGAGGAAAATGTTCTCTGAATGGAATATACATTATTTTAATATATTTATAGGTTGCAGTGACATAAGAAAAGTATCCAATTGATGAATAAAACACAAATCGTGGATAGTTATTTCATCATATCAGTGGCATTACAGCTCGTCATGAGCCAAAGGCTTCTTCAGAACAATCTTCCATTCGCCCCTGCCTCTGGCAACTTTCTCCATGCTTTAACTCCGATGGATTTTAGATCATCCTCTATGTTATCTTGATACCTAAGTTTTGGTCTTCCTCTGGATCGTTTTCCCACTGGCCCTCTTCTGTCGAAAATTTTTCTGATCGTTTCATCTTCATCTCGCCTAATTACATGTCCTATCCATCAAACGCGTACTAATTTAATAAATTTTACAACGTCAGGTACTACACCTGAAGAAGCATGGTAGTTTACTTTATACGATCTTTTTGACCAAGCACCATCAGCTATAACGGTTATTAACCCATTTCCGTCGGAATCTACTTCACCAATTTCTTTGGCTAAAGCTAATTCCTCCCGTCCAGCCTCTACTAAGGAATCACAAAGTGTTTGGCCGATGATATCTGCAACTGTTTCCGTATGTTTTGCATACTGCCTGTAGGAAATCACAGGTATATTTAATGCAGCGTGCTGCTGCTGTATGTCTGAATAACCAGAACCATTCAAGTTCAGTGAATTGTTAAAAGAATCCTATGTTGCTATCTCGTTTTCAATATTCCACATTTGACATTTAAAAGTCAATGTACTTATCAATCCGTCCATTTTTCCTTTGATAATCTCCATATTAGAAAAGTTGCATGAAAATGGAGAATGATTATTCAAACCTTGAATAGATATATATATATATATATATATATATATATATATATATATATATATATATATATATATATAAGTTAAATAAAAGCTTTTAAAAACGGTTGTAATATAAATAATAAATACTAAAGCAGTGCAATTGCTCTCCTTTTCCTTGACATAGGACGTTTACTGGGACTCATTTTTTATCTTGTCTCTTATAACTTATATCACTAACCTAATGTAATACTTAAAAATACGCGTAAACTAAAGAACTTTTAACTTATACCACTAAACTAATAATATATTACTTAACATACACGTAAACTAAATAATTTCAATGTTTCAAAATAAATAAGAATACTGTAAACTGTAAAAACTAAGCAAGTTGATAAAGAAAATACAAGAATGAAAGAACTAAAATGGATTCTAATTCAAGCGAACTAACTGACCGTACCCATAGAGAAATAAAAATAAGACCGTACCGTACGCTCATGTGATTTGACGTCACTAATGCGATAACGATCAAGCTCAGCGACAATGATGAGGAACACTTTTCTCGATTATTACTGGACACAGAAAGGTGAAAAAAGAATCAACGATTACAGAAAAAAAAACTCTTTCAACTGATGGGCGTGAAAAGTTTGGTTATAATAGAACGTTAAACAGTATAATCCAATTTTTCAACAGAAAATTCAAAAAAATAAAAAAAGTAAAACCATCAGTTTAAAGGCAACATAATTTCGTATAACATGTCCAAATTTCGAGACATTTCGTCGGTAAATAACAGAGAAAAAATTTTGGTGCACCGATAAAACAGCCTTAAGAACAAAAATGAAGATAAACTTATTCAATAAAATTTGTAAAGGTATTCTTGATTAGGTAATTACAATTTTACCTTTTTGTAAAAAATGTTTTATTGATTATCTAAATATTTAGTAGCGTATGAGTAATCGATTGCACAGCTAATTGATCATGTCAATGAATTAC